TACACGATGACTAAGTTCTTTCTTCCCGGTTAACGCTGGAATGACGCACAACGATCTTTTCTCACTAATGCTCTGATACCATGTGAGAAAGCACGAGAGAAAATATGTTATTGATATTGGATGATAAATACAATACAAGAGGTACCTATTTATAGCTATACACTACAAGGAGATATTACTCCTCTTCCATTGTGGTACAAGACTACACTATACATATCTATAAACTAACACCTTGAATTTGTCAAATGTCCGTTACTATTTTTTCTTGCTGGGTGCTCTTCGGCAGGTTGGTGTTGGTATGTGCATGGAAGGAATAGAACACAATCCAGTCGTCTATGAGCTGATGTCCGAAATGGCATTTAGAGGGGATAATTTTCAACTTCAGGTAACAACCTTTTGTGAATTAGATGTCGTGAGAATTTATGATAATTATCCCCACAGGAAATTTTTTGTTTCATTTTATTGTAAGGGCCTTTTCAATTCAATATCCTCTTTATTTTAACTGTATCCCTACTAAGCTCGTTATACAACAAATTTGTTACAAAAGGATAAACTTTTACTTTAGAATACAAAACTGTAAAACCTGTAGAAGTGAATTGACTTTCTTCCCAAAAAAATTGAAGTGAATTATCTTTCAGCCAAGAACTCTTTGTTTCTTGTTCTTTGCTATATTCCTTTGCTATTTGTCAATTTCTCCTGCAATCTTTTGAAACTACAAAATATTTTGAACCTTGTGAAAATATGTTGATTTCGACCAAAGATGATTTTCAATCTTAATGGTAGAGATTAACTTTGATATTAGGAAAAATATTTCGACATTAACAAACTATTTGCTACACACAAAAGCAGTAGCTGTGTCTTGAGAATGAAGTTTGAACAGATTAGACTCTCTGTTGTGTTCATATCCATTTTTTGTCAAAAAGCTCATGTTTCTATATTCCTTTTCCTATATGAATGCAGAAATCGGAATTAAGCTTAATTATCTTTAATGAGTTTTACTGACATTTAGACATATTTTATCTGGAAATACTATCTCATTTATTTCTCTATATCAAGCTGTTACCACTTACCAGGTGCATCTTGAAGGGTGATATAATTCAGTAGTTGTTTTCTGTTTTACTGAAAGATGATTTATGCTGATGCCTGATGCAGTTTTCTTGATACTTATTGCACTCAATATCAATCCATCTAAGATTGTGCTAGTTTTATATTGTGAGAAACCAAAAAACTCCTAATGCTTTTTTATCATATGAGGATGTGCAGTTTTAAGATTGATTTTTGAATACACTATTACTATACCATTTAATTATGTCATATCATTATGTTGCCTAAAATTTGAAATTAAAGCATATAAAACATTGGATGAGTGTTCCCTTACAAAATATTTAAAAAAAGCATTAGAACAGTGTTATATCTGTGCCTATGACATTGTTTATCATCTTTGGTGTCAACTTCAAAAGGAAGCCTGAGTTGTGCTGACCGGTGTGTATTTAATGCGTCTTGCCATTTCTTATCTCATTAAATTTATTTCAATATGGTAAACCCTGCCCTGAATAGCATGCATTAAGTTTGTGTCACTTAAACCCTATCCCATAAGGCCTAAACCCCCTGCCCAGGAGTCAACAGTGGCCCTTTCACTTTGTTCCCTTGGTGACTTGAACTCCCAAACTCTCTTGGGTGGAAGTGGTGTTCTCTTACCATTGGAGCGACCTACTTGTCTTCTTTTCTCCTTGATAAAGTAAAAAACTTTTATACTAGTGATTAAAAAGGCAAACAGGGACATTGTCTGAATAAAACTTCTCAAAAACGCCTGCAACAGTGGATTTGTCACTTAAACTCATATTCACTAGCCTCGCCTATGTTTAATCTCCTAAAACTCTTTTTTACTGCTTCATATTTTTGGCTTTTTATTGGAACATTTAAAGCGAAAATTTCTTAATGCCGGTCCTCACATCAGAATTTATTTCTTTTGCTGCATAGGGATGGTTGAAATCCTATTCTCACAGACGTTATGGTAAAGTGAACGATCAAATTGAAGCTGCTTGGGACATCCTTTATCATACAATTTACAACTGCACTGATGGAATAGCTGTAAGTTCTTCATAATTGTCAGTGCTTAAGCATTTAATTCTGCATCTTGTGATGCTAAGGAGAATGGTATAATCATGTCTTTGTATATCAGGACTTATAATATTCTGGAGCTTCTAAGGTATTATACCATATATGCTAAGATTATTGCTGTTATGGAGTCATCAGTTTAGATCATATGTATGTTTTGGTTGAACTGATAACTAGGCAATATGTTTCTACCTAAAACTATGATGCAATTAGCTGCTCATTTTATCTCTCAGCATCTTATTACTGAACATTATACAAACGTCCAGACTTAATTTCTGTCTTCAACAGAAAATGCATATCTTTCATAATCGTAAGAGAAAAGAGAGAAATCATATATTAAAGCCATGATCTGAAGAAATTCTTTGGAAGCACTAAATGTTTACATCCCAGCTTTCATGATTTGTCAATGGCATTTGTTTCTTTCCTCACCCTGGCGCCTTACCCTGTGCAATGTTGTAGGATCACAACACAGACTACATTGTGGAATTCCCTGACTGGGACCCCTCAGGGAAGACGGGAACTGATATCTCGGGGACTGATAGTTCCAGTCAGAATCGGATGCAAAAACTTGCAGGGTTCCAGTTGAACAGACGGTTCCTTTTCTTTGAAAAGAGCTCCAGTCTACCAAAGCCTCACCTATGGTATTCTACAGAGGATGTCATCAAGGCATTAAAGCTATTCATTGATGCAGGAAAAGAACTTTCTGGAAGCCTCACGTATAGGTAAAGGCTGATTCTGACTTTCACAAGTGATGAAAAATGACTTTTAGTCCCTTTATTGCAGGCACCCTGTATTTATATCCAACTATTCATTCTAATTCTTAAAAAGAGGGGTAAGAAAACTAATATTTATAAGAAAATCTCTGCATCTGTATCACTAAAGTTGATCCAAATTTGTCAATTTGGTTGAAGCTTTAAAAATTTGCATGAAAGCTTTGTTACATATAAGAAGACACTACTATTGGATAGGTATAATCCTAAACACTAGACATGTTATATAGAACCCGTTTGGATTAGCTTAAAAAAAGTGGCTTTTTCAGCAAAAATAGCTTTTAACCTAAAAAGCAATAAGTTGGGATTGCCCAGCTTCTTGCTTTTGGCTTGTTTTAAGCAGTTTTTAACTTATTTTAAGCATTTTTTAACTTTGTCAAACACTTAAAAAAGCTAAAAAGAGCTTAAAAGCTGATTTGACCAGCTTAAAAGCCAATCCAAACACCTAGATAGTTTAGCAAAAGAGAAAAGCAACTTACCAAAAATAAGTGGTTCTTTTGTTCCCGCAATCTACGCCAGGATATTCTCAAGTTTAGTGATATCGAAATGAAACAAAATTAGAGTCACTTATATAGTTTTTAAAGCACCCTAAAAAGCTAAGTGTTGTACAATGGTGACATTGGTGTTCAAGGGAAACTGCAAATGTCAGTAGTGGCTTCTTGCAAGAGTAGCAGCTTCTATGCAAGAAGCCACTGCTCTTTTGCAAAGTCTTGGTGAAGTATCTTTCTAGACGTCCCTCCTCTTGTACGGAATTCATAACGTGTGACTGATGGCTTCAACAAACTATCAGAAACAAGCCGCCTGATGTTCTGCATCTGCTGGCTTTACCCTTTGCCAATCAGAGCTTCAACTCTGGTACTGTCCTCCTCCAGCACACTTAAAATGATCCAATAGTGTTGGTTTTGTAAAAGATGGGGCAGCAAGAATATTAAAAATATTGATTGAAATTGTCTCTCTTTTTTATTAAACATAGAGGGCTTTAAATAGCCAACTTGAGAGCATAATATGCAGAAAAATCTGCATAACAAGAATTCAAAAAATCTGAAATATCTCAATTCTCAACAAACCTAAAAAATCTAACAGAAATTTAAATTCAAAAAAGTAGATTCATTCTAAAACTAAGCTAACTTATTATACTAAAAAATTGCAACAGTAACTGAAGCAAATCTTCAACACTCCTCCTTTGCTTCAGTTGCTCTAAAATAATTGCTCCTCCTCAATTACTGCTTCTGCTGTTTGTGCTTGAGGATTGTGTTGAGCGTCTTTGAACTTGCACACTTTTGTAACATGGTCTGTTTGTTTACAAATACCACATATTGCATCATGTCTCCACCAACAAAATTTTTCTAGGTGTGTTTTCTTTTTGCAGTATTTGCAAAGAGGATAATTGACCTTTTCTTTTTTGCTTTGTGCATAAAAAGCACCTTCAGTAACTATTTCTTGTCTAAATGTTCTTCTTTGTTCTTGTGCTTGAAGAACACTTATTAATTCTGCAATAGAGATGGTAGAGAGATCTTTAGACTCTTCTAAAGAGAAAATTTTGGACTCGAATCTCTTTGGAACCGTCACAAGAATTTTTTCAACTATTCTGTCATCTTTAAAATCCTCGCCAAGCAATCGGATTCTATTAACAATAGAAGAAATCCTATCAGAATACTTAGTGATAGTCTCGTCTTCTTGCATCCTAAAGATTCAAAATCCCTTTTTCAAATTCAAATTATGCATTTGTCTAACTCGATCACTTCCTTGGTACTCCTTTTTTTAGCTTTTCCCAAGCTTCTTTTGTTGTCTCACATTCAATAATTTTAGAAAAAATTGAATCTGCAACTAAATTTTGAACACAATTTTTTTTTGATAATGGTAACAATTTTTATAAAAGAGTAAAATATTTACAAGAGATTGTGTGAGCCACATTCAGACCCCAAAAGATCTGAGACTGCGTAGCCTATTCTGTTCGATTACATTTCTTCTTGCAAATCTAGTAAAGAATGTACATCCTCCCTATAGCTCTCTTTGCACCAAAAACGAAATAACAAAAAACAATTTAGCTTAATTTTCTGGTAAGAGCTACGCCTATCTTCAAAAATTCTGGCATTCCTTTTCTTCCATATGACCCACCAGATGCAAGCAGGAACTACCTTCCACCATTTCTTCTGTTTAATATTTGCACCTCCATTGTTCCAGCCACTTAGAAGAGATGCAGTGTTATTGGGCATTGTCCATGAGATTCCAGCCAAATTAAGATAGAAATGCCAAAGTTGAGTAGTTACTGGACAGTGTATAAAGAGATGGGAAACTGACTCCCCATCTTTGCCACAAAGACTACACCTAGCTTGTAGCTGAATTCCTCTCCTAATAAGATTATCCTGAGTTAGAACAGCTCCCCTTGCTACTAACCATGTGGAGCATAAGACTTTTGTAGGCGCCCTGACCCTCCAAATTTGTTTCCATGGCCATCCTTGAGTAGGATTAGAAGTAATGTTGATGAAATGATAAACAGACTTCACTGAAAAGGCTCCTGATTTGTGACCCTTCCACATTAAAATATCTTCCCTTTCTGTGAGACCTTGGAAGGCTTCTAAGGTCTCCCAGAATTCTGCCACACTTTGCAACTCCCAGTCATTTAAGTTCCTTCTGAAAACAATATTCCACCCATATGTGGATTTTGCTTCTGCTACTGAAATTCTTGGGTTCGCAGCAATGTTATATAAGTCTGGAAACTGATCATTCAGAGGAGTGTACCCAAACCATGTGTTACACCAGAAGAGAACACTTCTCCCATTTCCAACCTTGATACTAGAATGATCAGCAATGAACCTCCATTGTCCCCTAATTGTTTTCCATACACCGACTCCATATGGGGATGATACTGGTTTGGTGCGCCAAGGTCCTCCATGACCATACTTCTCTTGTATCACCCTTCTCCATAAAGCTGTTTCCTCCAAATTATACCTCCATAACCATTTTGCAAGGAGACTGTTGTTCTGTGCCTTTAGGTTTCTGATACCTAAACCACCTACCTGCTTAGAACACAAAAGAGTATCTCATTTGACTAAGTGAATAGCCATTTTCTCATTATTTCCTTGCCAGATAAAATTTCTTCTTAGGGAATCAATCTTTTTCCTCTTGGTATTGAGAATAAGGACATCACATAGGAAGGCAGTGCATCTAAGACACTATTCACCAGATTTACCCTGCCTCCGAGTGACAAGTATTGACTCTTCCATGTTGAAAGTCTTTTTTCACTCCTTTCAATCACCCCTTGCCAGATTTCTTGCGACTTTTTTTTGGATCCCAAAGGAAGGCCTAGATATTTAGTAGGTAGATTCTGTATTCCACATTCCAAGATATTAGCCAAATTCTGTATGTTTGGAACTTCATTTACCTGATATAGCTTACTTTTTCCCCAGTTAACATGTAAGCTTGCAACAGCTTCAAAGGTTGTTAATATCAGTCTGAGATGAAGCATATCTTCTGGTTGAGTTCCCATGAAAATGATAGTCGTCTGCATACAGGAGATGTGAAATGTCTAGGCTGCAATTTTGTATGTTAGACACCTTGAACCCCTTGATCCAGCCATTTGACTTTGCAGTGTTGATCATCTCATTCAGCCCTTCCATTGCCATCAAAAACAAATAGGGGGATAAAGGATCCCCTTGCCTTAACCTCCTTTCTGAAGAGAAAAAACCTTGGGGTGAGCCATTAATCAAGATAGAGAATTTTACAGTGCTAAGACAGAAACGGATCCAGTTAATCCACTTAGTTCCAAAGCCCATATCAGACATTAACCTCAGGAGGAACTTCCAGTTGACATGGTCGTAGGCCTTCTCTATATCCAGCTTGCACAGAACACCTGGGATTTTGCTTTTGAGTCTAGAGTCAACCACCTCATTAGCAATAAGAGAAGCATCCATGATTTGTCTTCCTTTTATGAAAGTCATTTGATGACCTCCAATGAGCTTGTTAATTACAGTCTTCAGCCTCTCAGTTAAGACTTTGGCTATAATCTTGTAAACACTTCCAATCAAGCTAATTGGCCTAAAATCTTTAAGTTCTCTGGCCTCATTCTTCTTTGGGATAAGAGCCACATAGGATGCATTTAAACTCTTCTCAAAGTATTCATTAGAGTGAATTCTTCAGGGTCAACATGACATCTTCCTTGACTGTTGGCCCGCATTTCTGGAAAAAACCCATGGTGAAGCCATCAGGTCCCGGTGCTTTATCTGAAGCACAGGACTTGAGGCATTCCACCACTTCTTGTTCTTCAAACTCTCTTTGTAACCATAAACGTTCCTCCTCTGTTAGAAAGGTCCCCCTATCAAGATTGTAATTTGGCCTCCATATTTTAGGTTTAGCGTACAACTTCTGATAGAAGTTTATGATTTCCTTCTTGATTTCTTCAGAGTTTGTGGTCGTTTGCCCTTGCACCTCCAGCTTATTAATGTGATTATATCTCCTATGTGCATTAGCCATTTTGTGGAAGAACTTCGTATTCTTGTCCCCTTGTTTTAGCCATAAGGATCTGGACCTTTGCCTCCATGCTGTCTCTTCATGCTTGGCTAACTCCTGAATTTCTAACATGAGGGCCTTTTCCAGTAATTCTGCTTCTGTGAGCCTTCTGTTTTCTTGAATCTGATCAAAGACTGAGATGTTACTGAGAACTGTCTTCTTCCTTTTCTCTAGACTGCCATACTCCTCCTTATTCCACCCTTTTAGCTTGGTTTTGAGGAGCTTTAATTTGGTGGCTAGCACAAAATCTGGCCTACCAACAATCACAAATGAATTCCACCAAGTCTGCACTTTTGAGGGAAACTCTTCAACATCTAATCACCAATTTTCAAATTTAAAATAAGATTTGCTGAGTTCTCATTCCCCACCTTTCAAAGAGATTGGTGTATGATCAGATATTACTTTTAGGAAAAGGCTCTGTCTGATAAAACTAAATTCCTCATCTCACTCCATATAGAAGAGAAATCT